TTAATTGATAGACTGGACCCTATTCAAATCTTTTATATGATAAACCCATTTTCAGTTAATAAATCTGTACTTTGCCATCTTTAAATATATGAAAGAATATTTTATTGCAATTGTTAAAGCATATCTACACTGTAAAGTATTGCTGAATTATACCGATTTGCAATAGGGTGAAATTGTGATGAGTCAAATTCAGAGAACTAGAAACTCCGTTTGTGCTGTGATTGTCAGTTATTCCTGCTGGCAGAGTCAGAAATCCTGTAGAAGGATGCCTGATATTCTAGATTGGCCAAACTTTTGTACGCTTGTCATATGACTGTACCTAAAGTGGGGTTAGACCATTCCAGAACATGAAGTCCGGGCAAGTCATCATTTAGCATCAAAATCTCTCCATGAAAGGATATTCAAACCGTGCTAAACATAAGGAAGTTAGAATATCGTCAATTGGAGAGAAGGTGAAGCTGATACAACAAGTGGGAAAACTGTGCCGTGAAGTGAAAAGTGAACATTGCTAAGACTAGGATCATTTTTAAGCAGAAAGTGAACATCTTAGAACACTTCAACAAAGAGGCCTTCTTTTCCCCCACCAAGGAGGAGAATGAGCAGCTGCCGCTGTAGATGACAAATTCGCTCTGCTAAGGTGGTTCAAGACAACTGGAGGAAAGAACATACTAGTCTCTGGACCAATACTGCAAGAAAGGAGAGTCACCCCAGTAAACAGGCTGAGCCATTAGGATTTCACCTGTATGATGGGTAGACAGATTGATTCAAGATAAAGCTTGGCATTGTTTTCAGCACAGAAACAGTGATGGTGCGGCAGTTACGGAAGATTGTCTACAAAATGGTCTCATCCACACTCAATGAGCATATATCAAGTGATACAGAGTTTTAACTCTGAATCCAAACTCTCTTCCTATCTTTTACTAGGTTGTTCTTTAATGTTTAAAAATGAAATATATAATGATGGAAAGTAAAGCAGGAATGTGTGACAGCTATGGTCACTCCAACATGAATTGCCCCTAAAAGCTGCTGCTTCTTGTCATAGGAAAGTCCAAGAAGCCACATTGCTTTGCAATTGTCAAGACACTACCCATGCAGCACACAACTAACAAAACTGCCTAGACAACGATCAGCATTTGAGGCAACCAGGGAAGTGGACAAGATATATCAATATATAGAAAAGGAAGTTCATCATTACAGACTACTATCCTATGCACTCCAACACTGTTGGCCTCAAAATTGTTAGGCGGATGTTCTTGCCTCCCAACACCACAGTCAACTTCCAGCCAATAGATCTGGATGATTAGGAACCCAAAAGCCAGCTACCAATGGCAGCTGATCTTTCAGGTTATCAAGGCTATCAATAAGAAGCAGGAATCTAATCAATTGTTCTAGAATACATCTTTAATGACCAAGAAGCTGCAAAAGATGGTGACAAAGCCATCTGCACTAACTGCTTCTACCATGTTGGATTCAAATGCGCTATGACTGCAAAAGATGTTGAGAACAAGAAGTTGCAGGATGAAGCAAACCAACCTGACAAAGCTTTTCAGCTCGCCTGTCGAAGGCTGGCATGGAAATTACATGGAAATGAATGCTGAGGTTGATGACACCATAGGTTGCAAAACAGATGAAGCAATCATAGGTGTAGTATGTTCTTGAACAAAGTAGTCCTGAAGAGGTTTTATTTTGGACAGGGGGAGCTAATGACTCTGAAGAGCCTGATGAAAGCTTGCTCACCCACCTGCTTCCCTAGATGAAGTTGCATAGTTGTTCCATGATTACACACTGCAGTATAAAAACATGGAAAACAGGTTTGACTGAACTGACAACATAGACTGTACTGCAATAATCTTAAAACAAGACACTAAGCAAATCAGATTATGGAGTTGAACATGTTAAATACATCAATGCAGCACAAGTCTAATAATCCAATATTTTTCCCCTAGGAAACTTAATTATTAAATAATTTTCATCGTGGATTGACAAAAATATTTGATTACATCTATAATCCTTCGAATATTCCGAGAACTTTGTCACTGTAGTAAAGGGAAGGAATAGAGATCCAGAAACAGACATCAAAATCAACCGTATACCAAAAGTGTGTACTGAGAAAGGATTCAGAATCACTGAAATTCCAGTGACTATCCAAGTGACTGTACAGTGAAGGGCATTTGACCATCTATTCGGCTACTTCCTGCCAAATAATTTGAGTTATCTAGGATCTCTTTGCAAAAGATACAGATCATGGACTTGATTTTCTGATCTTTTACCACTGGTGAATGTCAAATTAAGCATTTCAGGATACTATAGCTTTGTGCCTTTGGCTCTAAACTAGTACCCCAGCAGCCATTAATTTAAGTCAATTATAGAAAGTTATAAAGTGAACTTGGATACATTGGATCATTTCAGAGTTGGGGAACAGAAAAAGAGAATCACTAGAATACCAGATGGATCATTGTAATTATCTAATTTCTAGTAGGTGCAGGGCTGGACGAACACAGCAGGCCAAGCAGCATCATAGGAGCAGAGAGGCTGACGTTTCGGGCCTAGACCCTTCATCGGAAAAGGGGGAGGGGAAGGGGTTTCTGAAATAAATAGGGAGAGAGTGGGAGGCGGATAGAAGATGGATAGAGGAGACGATAGGTGGAGAGGAAACAAACAGGTCGAAGAGGCGGGGATGGGGCCCGTAAAGGCGAGTGTAGGTGGGGAGTTAGGAAGGGGATAGGTCAGTCCAGGGAGGACGGACAGGTCAAGGGGGCGGGATGAGGTTAGTCGGTAGGAGATGGAGGTGCGGCTTGAGGTGGGAGGAGGGGATAGGTGGGAGGAAGAACAGGTTAGGGAGGCAGGGACGAGCTGGACTGGTTTTGGGATGCGGTAGGGGGAGGGGAGATTTTGAAACTTGTGAAATACTCCTCCTCCCACCCACCTTCCTGCAAAAATGCTATCCCCTATTCCCAATTCCTTCGCCTCCGCCGCATCTGCTCCCAGGATGAGGCATTCCACTCCCGTACATCTCAGTTGTCCTCGTTTTTCAAGGACCGTAACTTCCCCCCACCAGTGGTCGAGAACGCCCTCAACCGTGTCTCCCACATCTCCCGCAACTCATCCCTCACACCCCGTCCACGCAGTAAGAACCAAAAAAGAATCCCCCTCGTCCTCACGTACCACCCCACCAACCTCCGGATCCAACGCATCATCCTCCGACACTTCCGCCATCTGCAATCCGACCCCACCACCAAAGACATCTTTCCCTCCCCACCCTTATCTGCTTTCCGGAGGGACCACTCTCTCCGTGACTCCCTTGTCCGCTCCACACTCCCCTCCAGCTCCACCACACCCGGCACTTTTCCCTGCAACCGCAGGAAGTGCTACACCTGCCCCCATACCTCCTCCCTCACCCCCATCCCAGGCCCCAAGAAGACTTTCCACATCAAGCAGATGTTCACCTGCACATCTGCCAATGTGGTATACTGCATCCGCTGTACCCGGTGTAGCTTCCTCTACATCAGGGAAACCAAGCGGAGGCTCGGGGACCGCTTTGCAGAACACCTACGCTCGGTTCGCAATAAACAACTGCACCTCCCAGTCGCGAACCATTTCAACTCCCCCTCCCATTCCTCAGATGACATGTCCATCCTGGGCCTCCTGCAGTGCCACAACGATGCCACCTGAAGGTTGCAGGAACAGCAACTCATGTTCCGCTTGGGAACCCTGCAGCCCAATGGTATCAATGTGGATTTCACAAGTTTCAAAATCTCCCCTCCCACTACCGCATCCCAAAACCAGTCCAGCTCATCCCTGCCTCCCTAACCTGTTCTTCCTCCCACCTATCCCCTCCTCCCACCTCAAGCCGCACCTCCATCTCCTACTGACTAACCTCATCCCGTCCCCTTGACCTGTCCGTCCTCCCTGGACTGACCTATCCCCTTCCTAACTCCCCACCTACACTCACCTTTACGGGCCCCATCCCCGCCTCTTCGACCTGTTTGTTTCCTCTCCACCTATCTTCTCCTCTATCCATCTTCTATCTGCCTCCCACACTCTCCCTATTTATTTCAGAACCCCCTTCCCCTCCCCCTTTTCTGATGAAGGGTCTAGGGCCGAAACGTCAGCCTCTCTGCTCCTATGATGCTGCTTGACCTGATGTGTTCATCCAGCCCTGCACCTTGTTGTCTCGGATTCTCCAGCATCTGCAGTTCCTACTATCTCTAATTTCTAGTAGGTTGGGTTCGCTAGGTGTAATGCAGTGCTGAATGAATATTATAGTAGAAACAATGTAGATAAGACTGTGTTCACTTTCTTCCAAGGATAGGTCTTTCCATACATTACCTAACCCTTAAACTTTAGAGACAAAAATATTAAGCTTGTTCAGTTTCTGGTGTATAGTAATGGCCCTCCACAAGGACAAATTAGAAGACCAAGTATGAAAGAAAAACAAAGATTCATAAACACAAGTTTGGGTTAGTTTAAATCTTTACCACTTAGCTGGGTTGCATAACAAAACTGATTCAGGAGGATCACATGACTGCATCATTTTCTCTTATTTTTTAATGATGCAAAAAAAAAGTGATTCCCTCCCATTCAAATGTTCCCTTCTCCGCTCTTTTCAGATTACAGTTAATTTTATACCTTTTCAAGACAATACAGAATAAAATTAGATTGTAATCTAGTTCATGTATGGAAGTGCTAAGCATTTGTGATCAGGAGAACCTATAAAGGCAGACTATATTCCAAGTCAGCCTTATTGCTAAATATAGATGAACAGAATCCCCTAAAAGAACAGAATTTTAAGATGTTGGAACTGGGTGACAGGTCTATCAGCATCCGAAAAAAAGAAAATATTGGTTAATATTCCAAGATGGAGATCTTCATCAAAATTGTTCTTTTAAAGTGTAAGTTTATCTTGTCTCTCCTGGTTTTTAAAATCAGGTACATAATCGGGCTTCTCTTGTACTCAGCAAATGCTTACTTAGCACATTCATTGAGTTAGAGTTTCATACCTGCCCCAGGCAGCCATTCCCTCAGATCTGTTGCTTACAGGGACACAGGATGACTCGGTAACATTTGGACTTTCCATTTTGAAACAAAAGCCACAGTTTGGGTCCAACATACAATTATTGCAAGATCTGAAATTAAGAAATGAAAGCCATTAAAATTAATTACCAAACGTGCACAACAAAAATAATAACACGCTGATAATCTCACTGGACCAGTTATCCAAAGATTTGGACTGGAGTCATGTGTTCAAATTTAGAATTTTTATTCCAGATTTATAGTGTCACAATTAATTATGAAACTACTAGTTTGTTCTAACCCTGTCAAGTTCACAAATACCCTTGCAAAGAGTCGAAATCTGCTGTCCTTACCTGGTCTGGCCTACATGCAATTCCAAAAACAGCACTGAGATTGACTCGGACTCTAAAATACCTGTTGAATTGACCAGGAAAACTGCTCAGTGTACCACATAATTTGGAAAAGCAATAAAACTAGATGGATCAGGCAGCATCGCCCAAGGCATTGGAAATAAAAATAGCATACCCTACCTAGTTAACCCTGCAATGTACTCCTTGCTAACATCTTAGAACTTGAGCCAAAATTGGGAGGGCTAATCTACAAATGAATTTAGCAACACCCTAACAACCAAACGCAGAGAATCATGCCTTACAAGCAATGTTGGTCTCCACCATCACCATTCCAAGTTTGGCTCTCACACCAAAGACAAACCAACCAGACATGAGCAGTTAATGATTCAGAATCACATTGGTTAGTTCAGTTGACTGGAGGGCTGGTTGGCGATGCAGAATAACATCAATAGCATGGGCTTAATTTCCACGTCAGCTCAGGTTACAAGGAGGATTCTCTGTCTCAAGCTCTCTGCAGGTTAAACCACCACCAGTTCTCTAATGAGACAACAGCTTGATGATCTAGTTAAGACAATGGCAACTTTTACATTTATTAACACAATCATGGTTGATAAAACATTTCAATGCCTTTTATCCATGCTGTCCTCAGAACAGTGGCATAAATGGGTTATATCTTTGATCATCAATCCATCAATCTCAAGCTTTAAGTACTATGAAACAGAAATTGCAAAAATCTCATTTATTCTGAATAATCATAAAAAACAAAGGAAAGGCGGAGCTTCAACAACCTTCTGGGGTTGGTAATTCAAAAGGTTCATCACACTGAGTAAAAGGCTTCTCCTCATTGTGGTCCAAAATAGTATGCCCTTATTTTAAAATTGTGATTCTGGTTCTGCAGTCCCCAACCAGAGAAACATCCTACCTCATCTATCATGTAAATCGCATGAAGTATTTTCCAGGTTTCAATGAGATCACTTTGCATTTTTCAAAACTCATGGGAATGCAGGCCTAGTTTGCCCAATCTCTCTTCAAAGAGCCCGAAGGTCCTTCAGTTGCTGAAAGTGGCCACGCAGGTGCAGCAGCAGGTAGTAAAGATGGTAAATGGTATGTCAGCCTTCACAGCAACAGGATTCTAGTATAGGAGCAGGGATATCTTGCTGCAATTATGTAGACTTTTGAGACCACACCTGACACACTGAAATTTTGGTCTCCTTATCTGAAGGAGAATGTTCTTGCTATACAGTGAGTGCAGTGAAGGTCTACCAAACTGATTCCTAGGACAGCAGGCCTGGAGAAGTTGAATCAGTTAGGATTATTCTTGCTGGAGTTCAAAAGAACAAGGGGGGGATGGTGATCTCAGAAACGTATAAAATTCTATGAGGACAATACAAGGTAGATGCAAAAGTGATATTCCGGATTGCAAGAGAATCCAAAATCCTGGGTCAGAGTCTAAGAGTACAGGATAAGCCATTTAGGACTGAGATGAACAGAAATTTCTTCACCCAGAATGTGATGAGCCTGTGGAATTTGCCTACACAGAACGCAGCTGAGGCCAAAATCATGTATGATTTTAAAGGAGGATATAACACTTGAAGCTAAAGGGATTAAAAGATATGGGAAAATGCAGGAACAGATTAAATGAGTTGGTTGATCAGAATGAATAGTGCAGCTGGCTTGAAGACCGATTAGCTTACTCTTGTCCCTATTTTCTATATTTCTACGATAGTCCCACCATCCCAGGAACAAGTCTGTACTCCTTGTATGGTAACTATATCTTCCTGTGATAAGGATATCAAAGCTATACATACTATTCCAGGTGTTGGCTAAACAAGCTCCTACACAATACGAATAAAATTTCAATATTCCTGTACTCAAATCATCTAGCAATAAAGGCTAACATTACATTAACCTTACTGATAACTTGCCGCAACTGCATTTAGCCTTTGGTGACCTCTTTACAAGAGCTCCCAAGTCCCTTTGCATGATATGTGCGGCACGGTGGCTCAGCGGCTAGCACTGCTGTCTCAGCACCAGGGACCTGGGTTCAATTCCACCCTTGGGTAACCATGCAAATTTCACACACATTCTGCCTGTGTCTGCATGAGTTTCCTCTGGGTGCTCTGGTTTCCTCTCACAATCCAAAGATGCGCAAGTTTGGTGGATTCGCCATGCTAAATTGCCCCATATAGTGTCCAGGGATGAGCAGGCTAGGTGGTTTGGCCATAGGAATTGCAGGGCCTTATGGGTCTGGGTGGGATGCTGTTCAGAGAATTGGTGTGGATCCAATGGGCTGAATGGTCTACTTCCACACTTGTAGTACCCCATAGTTCGCTAATGCAAGAATAATCGATTTATTCCTACCGTTTTCAGTCTGTTAGCCAAACCATAATCCATGTCAATACATTACCTGCTTTAACATAGGTTTTAATTTTACGAGACATCCACCCAGGGACGACTTATCAAAAAACCTTCTGTAACCCTAACTTCTTTTTATGAATTTTGTTGGAAACATCTTCAAAAAGAAACACTGTCAAACATGATATTCCATTTGCAAATTCATGCTCTGTCCACTCAGAATTTTTATCAAGTCCTTTATAGGAATTCCAATCTCTTATTTCTTTTTCCTTCCTCTTCTGCCAGTTAATAGATTTAGTTGAAAAAGTGGAACCAAATGTAGTTTTTTTTGGATTTCCGAAAGTCATTCAATAAAAGGTGTAACATAAATGGTTCCTGCACAAAATAGGAGGTCACTGTCCTGGGAGTAACAGTTATGGAACAGACCAGACCCCCTCAAAATATACTAAGACGGTAGCCTAGACCCTAACATTTTCTTATTTTAAAAAGGTAAACATGAGGTGCTGTGTTCCAGATGCAATTCGATTGGTCAAACTACTCAACATTAAGCAAAACACAATTTATTCAACCACTAGTTAAAATGTAGCAAAAGAAAGAGGAACTTGGAATAACTTAACTCTATTGGAAAACTTGTGAAATAATAGACTATTTTACAATTGAACAGTCATTGTTTCAAAAAAAGTAACAACATCCCATAAACACATCCTTGGCTGAAAGCAAATTCAGAAAACAGATTGTCTCACATGCAGTTCTCCAATCTAGGAGTAAAGAACATGAGAAGACAATTCTAAAAAAAAACTCCAGTTTTCAAATGCAACAAAGAGAGATGTGACAGCTTTTCAGAACCCCAACAGCTTCTAAAAATCCTGGTTCTGTGGGTGTGAGCTTGATAAACCCATTCAGCCTGCTTCTATTGTTCCCACTTTTAAATAAAAAGCAACTTGTGAAACCTAGGGTGTTTATCTTTTTAGTCTGCTCGGTACCCGTGCCCCTCAAAGGAGCTCGGAAAAAACACACCTCTTAAAGCCACCAGTATCATCATAACTGTCCTGGTCTCGAAGACACCTTTGTCTCAGTTCATTTTTGTCAAATTTTATCATTCCATTCAAGAAGCATATTTATGACATTGTAGAGAATTAAACTGATACTGGAGTCAATTGACAAACTTGCTGTACTCTTAAGAACAGTGAAAATTTTACTCTAGTTTTTACTGATTTCAATGCATGATTTTGCACATCTACACCTACGTTAGCACCCTGACAAAAATGGAGTCCTGTGTGCAATGTTAGCAAAAGACTGTATTCTCAAATATATCAAAGAATACTCACTTGTATTGAGCACAGCTGCCATTACGGCCCGAAGGGTCTTTGGGATAGAGAGTTATTGATGGAGAAGCCCGGGCTGATAACAAAAACCCAATTGCTAGAATCACAAGGCTCAATGCTGTTCCTGCAAACAAAATCATAGAAGCCATCAATAGAATCTAAGATGAAGCAGTAAATAACCATGTCACAAATTTGTCCTCTCAATTTAAGTGTACAAATATTTCAATAACTGAACATTTCATAAAACTATAAATGTGCTATTTCCATTTTTGCTCAAAACTCATAAGGAATGCTGGGAAATTATCGAGAATAGCTGATGGAAAGAACGCGTGGATATTTTGGATGCATCATTTTAATAGTTGGTAGAAATTGCTGGTCCACTCCATACCACAATACAATCACAAGAATGAAATTTTTGAAAAAAAAAACACCCTTGAATTATTTGGTGGACTCGAAGACCTGAATCATTAACTACTATTTTCTGCACAAATATTGGCTACCGTATTAAATGTTTTAAGTCTATATAACTAACATTACAAATATTTACTGTCCAAAGGAATTGAAAACCAACCTGTGTCATTAATCTCAGTCTGACACGATGATGGAATTGCTTCATATTGAGCAAACAGCAGAACATCCAATATGCAATAAGTAATTGTTAGAAGCAATACTATTTAAGAAAACAGGGGAGCAATTTAAATACTTGGTCTTATGATTGTTAGCTACTCACCAACCTCTCACTGCTTCTAATTCAGTCACATTTAGTCAAATAGATACTTCACTGGCTGAAATAATCATTTATGTTGCTACCATCCATTTTCTTTTCACCCTAACCACATGTAGCACAGAGGTGCAAGTCTTTAAAGCAAGATGTCACTTCTACATGTTATTACCAAGTATTGCAAAACAAATGTAATTCAAATATTGTCCTTTGAAGTCTTTGTGCATCTGCAAAATGGAGTAAAGGTCCATGTGCTCTATTCCATCACCAAGCGTTGCAGAATTGAATGCCCACAATTACAGTTTTGATGCCAAAGTGTCAGTCATTTAAAATAAACACCAAAAACATTTAGATCTCTCAGAATCCTCACACCATTGTAACTAAGACAAAGAAAGCAAAAAAAAAGGAGTTGGTCTGAGGGGTTAGTGCTAAAAGATAATGTCATAAACATTATCCTTTTTGAAGTGCAGAACTCATCTTACCCTTGTTTGCATTTTTTCAATGATTTGATAATAGCTCGCATTTTCTCAGAATTGGTATTGTGAACAAATAAGTTGAGGGAAACAAGTTTACCAACCTGTGAGACTGCCCAGCGTGAGCTTTCTGCGTCCTACCTTCTCAACCAACCAAACTCCAACCAATGTAAAGATGAAGTTTGTGAATGCTGTGACAGCAGCCAACCAGATTGCTAACGTGTCATCTTGGACTCCGGACATCTGTAATATAGTAGCACTGTAGTACCTGGACAGGACAATGGGAGGAAATGACTGAGTAGTAGTCTAATCCAACCACATTAGATACCCAAACCGTGTACTGGTCATGCACAATTATACAATCATGACTCATTCAGCAGGGTAGAGATATGAATATTCAATAGCCCTACCTCCATCACCTTCTGAAGTGGACAGTTCGAAATATGCACA